CAAAATAATTCAAGTCAAAACAATAATCAAGTAGAACATGCAATAAACATAATAATAATCTTGAAATTAAATAGGAAAGAGTTAGAGAAAATGACACCGTAGTTTTATAGTGGTTCGGTCAAACTCGACCTACTCCACTCTCCAAGCGCCTCTTGGGAATTTGAATAAAGAACTTTTCCGACTCTTTCCACGGATCAGAGCCAAACCGGTACACCGCTCTTTTTACGAGTTCAAGAGCAAACTCAATCCTTTCAACGACGCAGGATCAAACCGATACAAGTATTTGAGTTTGATAATAACACACCACAACTCTCTCAAAGAGTAGATTTACAATTTGGGATACTGACAACTATTTCCTCACAATATAATAATAATCCCTCTCAAGAATAAGATGAAAAGAAATAAACTTGTAAGCTTGGAGAGAGCAATAAACAATGGAGACTTTGAACAAATGAGGATTGAAGAATGTATGTAAGTTGTGTCTTTTAAAAATGTGGGGAAGATGAGTTTATATAGAGGAGAAAAGTGGCAAAATGTAGGATTGAATATTGACCATTGGATTGTGTTAGGAATAATGGAAGGTGGAGATTAAAAGTAATTAAGTAAGAAAATTTTCTAAATTCATTTATTTCAAAATTTTAATATAATAGTAATATAATATAATAATAATAAAAAGTTATGTGAGTAACGGTAAAATGTAATTCAAAATTTATTATAAATATAATAATATAATAATAATAAAAATGATGTGAGTAACTACCAAAATTTTAAAATATAATAATATAATAATATAATATAGTAATAATAAAATTCGATGTGAGTAACGGTTATATTCAAATTTATATTTGTAAAAATAATTTTATTTAGAAATGTAATAATAAGAAAAACTCCACCATGTGTTACTCTTCCAATATTATAAATGTCATACTTTGATATATTTTGATTTGTCCATCATTTTGATTTTGTTGCCACATCATCACGTCGGGTATGTTGTCTCGACTCTAATTTCTTCGTTTTAGCTCTGATTTGAGTAATTGAAAAGTTGTTGTAATCGTTATTCC